CTTGCTCCCCATGGCTTGTGCTCAGCCTGCTTTCTTATAGAACCCAGGACCACCAGCCCAGGGGCAGCTCCACCCACAATGGGATGGGCCCTCCCCAATTAATCACTAATTTAAAAAATGTCCTACAGCCAGATCTTATGGAGGCATTTTCTCAACTGAGGTTCCTTTTCAGATAACTCTAGCTTATGTCAGGTTGGCATAAAACTAGCCAGCACAACGTGGTTAGTTGTGCTGAAAGAAGAGTCAGGTTTGGTGGCCCATGTCTATAATCCCAGCACTAAGTGTCTGAGCCAAAAGGATAGTAAGATTGGAGCCATCCTAGACTATACAATGAATTCAATGCTAGCTTTGGGTACATAGTGAGAAGAAGGAAAAGGAGAAAGAGGAAGAAGAGAAGGAGGGAGCAAGGGAGGGAAGAAGGGAGGGAGGAAGGGAGGGAGGGGAAAACATTGTAGGAAAGTAAAATAGCAGAGCCACCGTGGATACCAGTATGAGGGTCCTCAAGACACTAAAACCAGGTCTTCTGTGCGACCCATCTGTGCCCCCTCTGGAATGACAGCAGCACACTGAAAAGCGTCCTGCATGCCTCTGTTTATTTGCTGCACTATCCGCAGTAGCTAAAGCGGACTCAGCCTATGTACCTGTTCTCAGTTCCCGTTTGCCTCTCTGTTGCTGTGATAACACACTGACCAACACAACCTGAGAAAGAAGGGGCTTATTTAGACTTTCACATCAGAGTCCATCACTGAGGGACATCGCGACAGAAACTCAAGCAGGAACCTGGAGGCAGGAACTCAAGCAGAGACAGCGGAGGAACACTGCTTGCTTGATTGCTGTCCATGGCTTCCTAAACTACCTTACCTGACCCAGAACCACCTGCCCAAGGGTAGAACCACCTACAGTGGTCTGGGGCCTCCCACAGTAATCATTAACCACGAAAATGCCCCACAGCCATGCCCACAGGCCAACCTGACAGTGGCAATTCTTCCTACTTTCCAAGTATCTCTACTTTGTGTTGAGATGAATGGATAAAGGAAATGCAATATTTACATTCACATTCATAAAACGAAATACTTTCATCTATAAAGAAAAAACTAAATCTTGTCGTTTTCAGCAAAATGTTTGAGATGGGAGCGCATTGTGTTAGGTCAAATCAACCAGACACAGAAGGACAAACATCTAGAATGTTCTCTCTCATATGTGGAAGCTAAACAAAGTTGATCTAGAAGTGGTTACCAGAGCTTGGCAGGATAAGGGGAAACTGGATTTCATCAGTGCCCATTGTTTAGAGGACCATAGCACCCCATTAACATACTCAATTAACAAAGCCTTTTGTTTTGTTTTTGTGAGACAGGGTTTCTCTGTGTAACCCTGGCTGTCCTGGAACTCACTCTATAGACCAGGATGGCCTGAAATTCAGAGATCCATTGTCTGTGCCTCTCAGTGCTGGGATTAAAGGCATTTGCACCACCACTGCCTGGCTCAATTAACATATCTTAATAATTTGCAAAAAGATGAATACTCACTGACCATATGACTAGTGGGTAATGTAGGGTAACTCCACGAGTGCCCCAACCAAACTGACACACTAATTACTCTAAGTTGTCAATGTTCCAAAAAAATTTATAATAATGAGCAACAGCTAGAGTGGGGAGAGGCCTACTGCCTAACGGAGCAGAGAAGCCACTGGAATGGGTGTAGCCCCACTAGCCAGGCTCAGGCACCCACGTAATCCCTTGTGCAGAAGAAAGACTATATGAGTTAAATGTTGCATAAGACATCCCAAATCTCAGTTTGTTAAAACAATGCTGTGCTTCTGACCATGGATAGTGACTCCTGTCTTTCCACCTCTTCCAACAAGCCAGGCTGGCATGGTTTTTTCATGGAGATGGCAAAACCTCCTGAAACTAGTAAGAAAAAGAGTCAGTCATCCTTCAGTAGCCACAGGGATACTCCACGGAGGCCAAAATCCACAGCTGCAAAAGTCACTTGCTGGAAATGGTATGGTTTCTCCATGGAGCCCACACCCTCCCCGCCACTGTACTTTATATATACTCTAAATCTGCTCAAGATTCCTTGTGACATCCAAGACAACATATGTTGCTAGAGTTTTCCTGCCTGGCCCACAGTCAGGACAAATCTCTCTCACCTGCCAGTCCCACAGCCGCTCAGACCCGACCAAGTAAACACAGAGACTTATATTGGTTACAAACTGTATGGCCATGGCAGGCTTCTTGCTAACTGTTCTTACAGCTTAAATTAATCCATTTCCATTAATCGATACCTTGCCACATGGCTCGTGGCTTACCGGTATCTTCACATTCTGTTTCTCATCGTGGTGGCTGGCAGCGTCTCTCTGACTCAGCCTTCTACTTCCCAGCTTTATTCTCCTCCTTGTCCCGCCTACACTTCCTGGCTAGCCAATGACCAATCAGTGTTTTATTTATTGACTAATTAGCAACACATTTGCCATACAGAACATCCCACAGCAAACATACTTCTATGTATACAGTCATTATCCTGAATTGTTCAGGGCGCAATGACAAGGAAAACAGTTGTGCGTATTTAGCAGGTCAGTTGCTCTTGCTAAATACTCTTCGTCTGCATTTGGTTGACTCTAAGGGTATGGAACCCGAGAATCTAGAAGGCTGACTGTATGGAGGCCTGTTGCTGCCTGGGCTTCTGGAACATCACCTCATCACCTCTTGTCCTAGTGGCCAAATAAGGGGTCAGAATAGAAATAATGCAAACATCCATCAGGCACGAACATGTGACCAAACTATTGCATGCCTGTACCGTGATAATTGGAGTATTCATGGCGAATGACTGGACCCTGTTTGTTCCAACAAGCTAGGTTCACTGCATACTGCCAGTGCACCAATTAAAGAGAAAAGCTGTGAAGGGAGGTGCATTCAATGTGGCCATTTTGGAAAGAGGGATAGATAGAGGGGTCCAGTGATCCCAGTCTATTTAGCAGGCTGATATGAAGTATAGGTTTAAATAATTGGGGGTAAGACATATCACAAAATCCTGATCTTTGTGTGTTCTTACTGACTGCTGTCTCAACTCGGGTCCTGCAAGGTGGTCCAAAGCTCCTTATCCTTGAAGAGACAGGGAGGTTCTCAGGAGAAGGTCACATCTGCTCCAGGGTGCAGCCTCACCCTCATGGGTAATTGCTCTCATCTGGGGGTGGCCTGACCTGAGAGGTTTCATGCCTCTTGAAATCCAAGGTCACTGCATGTGTAGGACAATGACTTACCATAAAGGAGACATAAACAAAGCCAGAGATTCCAGGCTTCCATCCTGTTTGTAGTAGTCTTCTGAGCCCAAGAAAGAATCAATGGTTTCAAGTATAAGTGTTAATGAGTAATAGTTTTAAGTCAAAGCAGCTTCCTTAAGATTTACCTTTTAATTTTAATTATGGAGAATTTATGTGCATGTGTGTATAGGTGCCTGTGGAGATAAGAGTGTATCAAACCTCCTGGAGCTAGAGTTAAAGCTGTCATGAGCCACCTGATATAGGTGCTGGGAACAGAACTGGGGTCCTCAGCAAGAGCAGTATGAGTTCTTAAACCGCTGAGCCATCTCTTCAGCCCCAAAGCATCTTTTAAGTGCCTGTTACATGATGGCATGTTATTCTTCATTAATAAATGGCCAAATTCTGGGCTGAAGAGATGGCTCAGTGGTTCAGAGCATTTGGCTACTCTTCTAAAGGACCTGGGTTCAATTCCCAGCACTCACATGGAAGCTCACAGCTGCCTATAACTCCAGTTCCAGGGGACTGGACACCCTCACACAGACATACATGCAGGCAAAACACCAATGCACATAAAAGAAAAATAAATAATATTTTAATGACTGAATTTTTGGCATGGTACAACATGATACCTGGAGGTACAGGGAAAAAAGTCTCCAGCAGGTACAGTCTCAAGAGCACACACTGACCAACAAGCAGGACCATCTGTCACTCAATGTCTATTGGTTATCTCTACATCCCAAATCCCCTACATCTCAAATGCCCTCCATCCATGGAATCACCCCACAAAGCAAGATGCAAGATGCAAAATCAAGACCCTTTTCAAACACCTCCATCACCAATTAACTTTGTTTCCTCCCTGGGTGCCTTCCTTAACCACCCAGCCCAGAGAGTGTTAGCTTGCCTTGGTGGGGACATGAATTACTTGGCAAGAATTTGTACAGAGTTATTGTCAAAGCCCAGACACAGCTTCAGAGCCCCCACAACCCTCCACAGTGACTTATTTTGATTTTCTTTGCCTTGCTGCTATAACAACCTCACAGTGAGCCCCGAGAATGCCGAGGTCAGCGTGAGGCAGGCTGCGGGAAGGAAATACAGCTCCAAAGACAGAAACCCCACAGGGAAAACATGTCAGTTATTAGTTTAAAATATTAACCCACCTCATTTGCTTCTGGGAGTAAACTATTCCTTTTAGCCAGAAGTTTAGAAAATAAATATCTCTTGTTAGGGAATGAAAATAACTCTTCCTTCAGGCTTTTCTGTTTGGGGCAGATACCGTTGGTGGTGGATGCCTGGTTAACATTCTCTCTGTCCTTTTCGGAAGTCAGCAGTAGCTTTCCCAAGCTGGGCTTGCCTCTCTTTCCCCTAAAGAAATGTATGGCTCTGAAAACACTCTCAAACAATGGCCCCATGGTAATGAGGAGACAAGACTGAGCGGATATTAATGGCTTCCTGTGCACATCCCATTGACCCCCAAGATGTCAGGTTTCTTGTGTATCCTGTGCTGTAAGCCCCTGATGGAGGGGAAGGGTGGTGGTATTCAAATACTGCTCATTAAAAAGGATGGAAATTATTCTAGAACCGAAACAATCCAACACACGAAACTAATTTTCTTGACACATTTCCCAGGCTTTAACGACAGCTTCATTAATTGAATGTAGTCACATGAGGGCAAAAAAATCACCGCTTTTTTTTTTTTTTCTTCTAATGACCTGCCAGATGATGGATCTGTTTGGTTACTTACCTTACTCTGGAAATGTTCAAAGGAGGAAAGAGAGAGAAAGGCACATTTCCAAGTGTCCCATGACCACTGGGCCTGATCGAGATGCTTCCTGGGGTATAGGTGGTGGTAAGTCACCTGAAAAAGATGCTGGGCTTAACAGGATAGGGGAGCAATAAGGCCCTTGTTCAGAGCCCTGCTGAACTCATCGGCATCCCCACCCTTAAGGTCTACTAAATAGGAATCTGCATTTAACAAGATCTCTGGGGATTCCCAGGCAAACTGAAGTTGAAGGCTCACTGAGTAAGAACACACATTTGGGGCACAGTCCCATGGGCATAGGTAGGGATTCAGTGTCACTCCCTGGTCACTGTGAGCAGGGCACAGTATGTAGCCTTTCTCAGCCCATCTTTCATCGGTAAAATTAGAGTGATGTCCACTTCATGGCATTCTGAGGACTGAACAAGCCCTTAGCCCAACTCTGGGATATGATTCTGCGCAAATCAGTGGTGATGGTGTTCTTGTGGCCTCCTTTGACCCTTCCATCTTGGAGAGGAAGGTTTGGGGAAAACAGACAGAACTGAGTTCAAATCCATGTTTACAACTGCGTGACCTTGGCCAGGCCACCTAACCTTCCTGAGCCTCAGCTTCTCCTTGTGTGTAAAGTAGGCACAGTTTAAATCTCGGTTAGCAACCTTCATCCTCCTACAAAGCCTTAAGATATAGGTCGATTACACGGGCCATAGAAGGTCTTGAGATTTTCACAGCCACAGGTTTGCCCTCGCTACTGGACCAGTGCTGCTCTGTCCTACCTCTCCTCTCCTCTCCTCTCCTCTCCTCTCCTCTCCTCTCCTCTCCTCTCCTCTCCTCTCCTCTCTCCCTCCCCTCCCCTCCCCTCCCCTCCCCTCCCCTCCCCTCCCCTCCCCTCCCCCTCCCCTCCCCTCCCCTCCTCTTCCCTCCCCCTCCCCTCCCCCTCTCCTCTGCCCTCCCTTCCCTGTCCTCTCCTCTCCCCTACCCTACTCTACCCTACCCTTCTTCCTCTCCCCTCCTCTCCTCTCCCTGATGCTAAGTTGGACTTACTTTCACTAACAGTTCCCACAAGACATTCGCCTCTGCCAAACATTTTTGTGAGTTGGGTGTACTTGAGGGAGTCACAAGTAGAGATTTTTGCCTATGGCTTGACCTCACGCCGTCTCTCTAGTTCTTCCTGCCATCTCATACCCCCTTACTACAGACCATCTCAGGAACAAGGAACTTCTTTCCTTTCTCATCCAGAAGGAAGCTCAGCTTCAGCAAGATGCAGGGAACAAGGAATGAACATAGCGAGATGTGTGTCCTCATTCTAAACGTCCCTACTATTACATCCTGTCTCTACTTCCTTGTCCAAATAAGGCCAGTGCTCCCAGTCACAGGTTAAGCACTTTAGAAATACTTAACTGAGTGGCAAATGCCTGTCAGCTTCGGTTTCTTCTCTGCCAGGTTCTGCTGCTGAGGCCGAGGCTACCCTCTGTAAACAACACTTTCCATCCACAGCCAGCTCCTCCTTCGGTTCCAAGCATCAGGGATGCCAGGGTTGCTGGAAGGTTGGAGGACCAGAAAGAAATCCCTCTGTTAACATGCTGTTCCTTTCAGCGTTGCTCAGCAACAGCACCTCAACCTGGTGGCAGCAACTGAATCCACCAGGACAGGTGCCTCTGGTTCTCAGTCCCTCCACCCTCAGAGCCACGTTCCCTGTGCCCTCTCACAAGCAGCACCAGCTGCAGGCACTGGCCCTGACTCCAGACTCCCAGCTCCACAGAGCCAGTGTCCAGGCTCCAGACCCCAGCACCCAGGCATTTAAGTGTACCCCCGGCCAGAGAGCTGGGCCCCAGTGAGGCGGGACTCCAAACTAATAGACTGTAGCCATCACAGCATCTCCCTTATGTCACTCCCATCCACAGAGCGGGCAACTTCTTAGGCAGCTACTCTGGTTACAATGCTTCTGCTTTCTGTTTGTGACCTCAGTCCTCTGCTCAGTGAGAGTCTACTTCACATTTAAACTCTACCTGGTTCTGACTTCTAAGAGGACCCTCTCAGATACAGAAAAGTATGTCAAAAACACCAATTCCTTCCAGAAATTAAAATCCACCTTCTAAATATCAAGTTTTCTCACCAATAAGGATATTCAAAAGAACATGCCAATGGTTTTGACAGCAATTTCCCTAAGAAAAATATCCACACTATTTTGGGCTCTGACAGCATTTATTGGAACAGAACCGCAATCCTAAGCATTTGGAACAAAGAATCAAAACAAGGCTCTGGGGGAAGAAGTAGAGTTAGACTTACTCATGTGGGCAGAGCTGAGGCACGATCAGGAGAGACAACCTATGTAGACACCAGTGTAAGCAAGGACAAGGAGAGGACAGCGAGGGACCCCTTTGACCTGGCCTCTGCATTGCTGATAATGACTCCAAAGGTAGAAAGAATTCTAAAAAAAGAACTGTATCTGTAAAGGTACTTGTTCAATGTTGTATACAAGTGCGAAAAAAATGACATCATAAATCTGTAACAACCAAAAGTACAGCCATATCTACCTGATAAGAAACACTGTAATAACTGTAAAAATGGGGAAGTCTTTTACAGTGTGATATTAAGCAGAATAAAATCAAGACATAAAATGTAAAGGAGGAAAGGTCCATTTGTCTCAAAAACTAATGTAGAGGAGACTAAGGAAAAGAAGACCTATGAGGACCTTGTATCAAGATGCTGAGAGATGGTTGTCAGTGAGAGATGGTTGGTTATCAGAGCTGGTTGTTGATGAGGGACAGTTGTCAGTGAGAGACAGTTATCAATGAGATGGTTGTCAATGACAGACAGTTGTTAATGAGAGTTGGTTGTCAAGGGAAGATAGTTGTCAATAAGAGACAGTTGTCAATAGGAGATGGTTGTCAGTGAGAGACAGTTGTCAATGGGAGATGGTTGTCAGTGAGAGATGGTTGTCAATGGGAGATGGTTGTCAATGGGAGATGGTTGTCAATGGGAGATGGTTGTCAATGGGAGATGGTTGTGGCAAGTCAAGTAGAACACAGAACTCACTCACAAACCTTCACTACCTGGGGTTTAAGGCAAAGTAGATCTTAGTCCTGAAATGAAGAACATTTTTTTGTTTTTAGCTATGGCCATTCCAAAGCTTTCCCTGAGACCCTGAAATATGGAGGAGGAACATAGTTCCTTGTCTAAAACCAGAAGCATGTTTAATAAAGCCAGTAATGGCCTGGGGCCAGGGCCTTAAGGAAGCTGGGATACGGGATCCTGGGAACCCAACTCTTTCCTCCTTAGGGGCTGTGCTTATCAGTCCCAAGACCCCAGTGTATTTGGTCCGTGATATACTTGAGGGATTGTCTGTTCCCTTTGTGCAACGTTGCTTGATCAGCTGCCTGCTGACTTAGTCCCATTGTGGGACAGTTTTCTGCTGACTCCATGCCATTTCCCCCCTGCAAATAGTATCTAGATGTTATACTTAATAAACTTCCTAGCGTGAGTCGTCAGCCCATGCAAACCTCCTGATCCGCCTTCTGTTTTCTTTATTTTCTCACCTCTGCTTCTCCCTCTCGACACCTCACCATTCGGGTCACTTTTTAATAATCTTCAGTGTTGCGTTCATGCTTCACAAAAGATAAGACAATTTCATTACAGACTGTGATAGCTTCATTCTATAATCAGCATCAGAATTTTAAGGGTAAGGACCAACAAGATGGGCCAGTGAGTAAAGGTGCTTGATTCCAGGTCTGATCACCTAAATTCAACCTCCAAGACCCACCTGGTAGATGATGAGAACTGATTCTTGGAAATTGTCCTCTGACATCCACACTCACACTCTGGCACACATGTGCTCACATACATACACAAAATAAATAAATGTAATTTTTAAAGTTGAAGGATTTCTAACCCTGAGATGTGTCTTTTAATTTAAGTTTTGAAAATAACTTTAAGGTTGAACCTAAGTTTCTTTCTCCAATTGAATCAATACTGAAGGTGATTTTGTTCCAGGGGAGGGAGAGGGGAGGGAAAGGGGAGGGAGGGAGGGTGGAAAGTGGAATTTGAACCACACAAAGTAAGCACATGTGGGAGGTTGAGCGTTTATGAAGCAGGACCGAAGTGACGGGCCACTGATTTAACATGTGGTCGGCATGGGGAGAGTCACGATTGTTGACCAAGTTCAGGAGATGACTGTCTGCAGGAGGTAAGCTCAGTGCTAAACCTTGACTCAGACCAGTGTTTTCACCAATACTTGGCACTTATGACTGGGGTAGAAAAGCTCTGGACAACTGACTTATTTTGAGCCTTAGAGACTCCTAAAATTCTAAATGATGTATGGTAGCAGTTCTCAACCCATGGATTATGACCCTTTGAGGGTCAAATGACCGTTTCACAGAGGTCACCTAAGGCCAGCAGAAAACACAGATATTTACATTACAATTTATAACAGTAGCAAAACTACAGTTATAATGAAACAATGAAAACAATTTTGTGGTTGGGGTCACCACAACATGAGGAACTATATTAAAGGGTCGCAGCATTAGGAAAGTTGAGAACCACTGCTTTATAAGATTAGATGGCCACATAATGCATCATAGGAAGCTGTAGTTACCAAGGACAGAGAGAAATCCCATTTTGTTGAAGATATTTGCTGTTACTGCAGAAAGTCCCTAAAGGCAGATTTGATGACTGAGTGATCTGTCATCCTTTGATGTTAAAGGCTGGGGGGTCCCATAGCCCCTATTCAGCTTGAAGAAGCCATATCATAGCCCCTATTCACCTCAAAGAAGCCATACAGTAGCCTCTATTCACCTTGAAGAAGCCAAATAGTAGCCCCTATTCAGCTTGAAAAAGCTATGTTGTAGCCCCTATTCAGCTTGAAAAAGCCATGTTATAGCCCCTATTCAGTTTGGAGAGGCCATGTTGTAGCCTCTATTCAACTTGGAGAAGCCATGTCATAGCCTCTATTCAGCTTGGAGAAGCCATGTTTCAGCTCCTATTCAGCTTGGGGAAGCCGCATCACCTGAATTCCATAAGAGCAGTTACGGGTTACTTCTTCATAGGAGGGAACCATGAAAACAGGGGTTAGAACCTGGCTTGGCAATTTAGGGTAAAGACATTGAATGAATCACTTAAGATGGCTGAACCTCAGCTCCCTTCTATCTAAAATGAAAATAGGAAAACAATAACATTTTCTACATGGCAGGGCTCTTGTGAATATCAAATGAGCTAGATCATCATCAAATGGAGCTTATATCAAAGTTCTTTTTAAATGTGCAAATAAAACAACATTCCTTCCTGTGGCTACCCTGCACTGATAAAATATCAGAATATTTTCAATCATTATACTAGTTGAATTACTGTACTTGAGTATAATATCTGTGTCTTGGATATGTTTTAAATGTATATAATTAGCAAATAACCAAATCTAATTGATCACAGATGTCTAATATCAACTCAGATTCAATGAATATTGCCAGTATTAATAAAACCATTTGGGGGAGTTCTACATTTTCATTAAAAAACAAAACAAAACCCACAGAGTACCAGATAGATGAAGTGCCCCAAATGCAGTCTATTTAAGGGGCTTCCTTGCTGTGTTTAACATCTGTGATCTGTTCAGAAATCAGAGGCTCAGTGTTCATTTAATTTTCCCTGATATTTCTGTTAAATGGAAATCTTCTATTAAGAAGTGTGGACAGAACAGAAACCATATTTTTGTAATTTATGTAACTACTCTTTTCCTCTCAGGACCTTAAGTGTTTCTCAACCTATTTTTCCATTACTGCTTTCCT